GAAGCCATAGATGATAAAATAGCATCAAACACATCCCTAAAGGCACAAGTGTGTAATCCAAATACTCAAGCTTCATTTTCTTAGATCGATATTGATCCAAGTGACGCAAGAAATTAGAAAAAGGTAAAAAAAAAATGAAGAGATTTGAGTTGAGAGAATCAAAGTGGAGTACGGGTCTTACGTGGACCCTCCCGTATCTAATGCCTCCCTCTTTATCTCTCTATTTCGTTATTGTGTTTCCCGGATTCTCAGCCATTTCCTCTCAGTCTCTATACCTCCTTTTATAGAGATCAAACTTTATGTATAAACGTGTGTATGTTAATATATGTATACATTAATACATATCTCCACTTGTAAACGACGAAAACCTAGCTGATAAGTTTGGACCGGGTTTTGCCATTTCGCATTTGCATTTGCCAATGTTTTTATTCTTTACATTTAAAGTATATCAACTACTCCTAGTATATATATTTTTTTTTAACTAGTAATTGATTTTTTTTTAATCAATATATAGGTGAATTGAATCTCAAAATGCTAAGAATATGTGAAAATGCATTTAGGATACCTTCCACGTTTTAAGTTTTTAACCACCATGCGTAATTAATACTGTGAAAATCCTTTAAACATTCATTTTTTTTTTCTGAAACATTAAACTTTCATGAATTAACAAGAAGCTATTAAAATTTCATGTTGACCATTTGAAAATTAAAGTCGAGGAACTATTGATAAATTAACAAGAAAAAAAAACATGAATATGTATTTCTATTTTCGTTTTTTCAACAACTATCACCCCAATTTTTTGCTTTCTGTCACCAACTCACAACTCAAAAGCGTGCAAAAAGTTTTGCTTATACTTTTTGTTTTTCCAAAAAGAATGCACAAGATAATCTAATAAATAGTTTCACATAAAAATTTCTGATACTTCATTCGCAAAATATATAGTACTATTTGTTATAATTACAACATATTCGAGTAGCACTTGATTTAATATATGGTGATTGTTGACAAAAAAACAACATATACTTTAGCATTACAAATGAGAATGCGAAATTATTTACATGATGCATTATCATCAATCTATTATAATACGTACGAATTCAAATTATATAATATGCGTTTTTAGGGGTTT